CTACAGAATAATTCAGTTTTCATATCAAACAGCTGCAGACCCTGTAACTGAAATAGTATGTCTAAGGTTATAAATGAAAACTGTTCAGTATCATTCTTTGAGTGACAGATTAAATTCCTAATCCAGTTATGGTAATGGCCACATTTGTAGTTTAACATAAATTAAGAGCTTAATTATATTTGTGACTATTTTAAACAAAATAACAAATTCCTTTGTACCTGTGAATGTAATTTATAGCAAAGCCACGTTCATTTTCCAAAACAATCTATTTTACACTGCAGCCCAACACTGCTCTAATGGTATAATGTAATTCTAGTTGTAGAATGTGGAAAGAGTAGATTCACTGGTAGCGCAGAGGTTTTGAAGATAAATGAAGATGCTATTCATTCAGGGGTAATTTCATCTTAGAACTATATGAAAGATGTTTCACTCACAAAAGGTACCTGTATGGCTTGGGATTTAAGCATGTTTTCAGCTACAACATAATGCTGCTAGATTGATTATGTTGATACTGCATTTCTCATCATGAAGAATTCCAGCTTTTATTCTCTTTAAAAAAAGAGACCGTCAGATTTTCATTTCACTATGCCTTTGTTCAAACCTCTGCAACAAGTTCAGATTTCTCCTAATGTTTTGTCTAGAGGAAAACCAAACCACAATTCATACACACACACACACACACACAAAAAAAATCACAAATCTGTAGAGAGCAATTAATCATGTGTGATTTACACATTTATTTGATTACTTGTTGAAGTAAATAAGCAGTTAGTCTGTGTAACACAATTTTAAATTGCCCAAACATCCTTCTGTCATTCAGGACTAAGAACAGACAATTCTAAATGCACTTTCCTGGAATATATTAAGACCATTTACAAGGACATCAATTGCACTAGCAATTAATACATAACTTAACGTAATGAGCTGCAGGCTGTATAACCTCAGGATAGCTACTAGAATTTCCACAGTCCTGAACAATCTAGACAGCCTTTTAAGCAAGACTCTAACACTACCTGCATAAATATTTCAGAAGAATCTGCAAGGACAGAGGTAGTCTAACCACTCACATTCCTCCTCCTGACAAGTTGGGACAGCACAGAGATGCTCCATGCTGCATTTGAGGCCAGAGGCCCAGCAAAGCACAGCTACATTAAGCCCCGTCCACCTCCTCTGCTCCACCAGTGCTGCCCAGTCGCTGGCCAAAAGGCTCTACCTGCGCCCAGTATCAGTAGGAAGACAGGGCCTGGGCAGGCCCGCTGCTTCAGGGTGAAGCATGGTCTCCTTTGGTTATCACATTTGATCCAAGTTCATGGCTGAAAGTAAATGAAAAACTGTAGCCTACTTGCACAAGAATAAAGCTGTATCCTAAAGTATATAAAACTCAAAAAAAAGTGTTTATAGACTTACAAACACACAGCAGACCTAACTCACCATCTGTAAGAGATGAGGACACAGGTGGCCTGGCTTCAGGAAGGCCTTGGGTCTGGTGATCGTCCTTACAGAAAGGCCCATAACCCACTTCTTAAATTGCACAATTCTTTCTTTTATTTTTCCAGCTGACCAAGCATTACTGAGGTCTCTCTCTCCCAGATACCTCCACATGAAGTATCACATAAAAACACCGTGTTGCAAGAAATTATATGCAGAAACTCATACACATGCTACCTTCTGCTTGTCAGTGCATGGCAACAGCATCCAAAGGCACCACACCTACAGACCAGACATGCATAAAGGCAGGCACAGCAGCACCTCAAGTACCTGGCAGACAAATGTAAATAATAATAATAATAATAATAATAATAATAATAATAACAATAAGGTTGAGAATACAAAATGTATTTACATTACTGAGAATGAGCATTTAACATTCCTTTTCCCTTCTTCCCTCTCCCCCACCCATGGTCTGATAATGGTAACCCAAAACCCCCCTACAAAACACCTTCAGTTGTTCTTTGACTGACATAAGTTCTGCATTTGCTTCTGGTTTTTGGTGACTTTTTTTTTTTAGTATGATATGACTGATAAGCAGGAATGCTGTATAATGGAAGCTGTACAATAAATAAAGGGAGAATGCTTTTAACTATGAGTCACACTACCTAGGAAGTATATGTATTTTCATTAGCTTTAATGAGAACGGGGCTGAACATCCCATGAGAAAAACACAGCCTTCATTCCACATACACCATTCTCATTTCTGTAGCTGGAAAATCATTGCTGACACTAAAATTGGGGGAAAATACTAACTCCTCTGCTGTGAAAACAGTTTCATTCAATATCAAGACTCTGCAGCCAAAGATCAAATGGGCTTCATTTTCAGCAGGACTGTATAACTCCACGTTAACAAACAAGAAGTGCAAACACCAAGATGTAACAGAGATAATGCACTAGCTCATTTGAAGTTATGTTGCATTTTCAGCAAATTTAAAGGACCTGAACACAGTAAAAGACAAAGGAATTCGTAAACCAGTCTGCTTTCAGGAACAACAATGGGTAGAAGAGGAATTAAAAAACAAAAGCAAAAAAACTACCAGAATCAGCAGAAAGATTCCACAAGATGAGAGGGATTTTTTTTTTGTTTGCCTAGCTGCTGAAGGCACCACTAACACAGCTGCCTAACAATTCCCAGAAGACACTGTCCTCCCCTCTCTTATATGAGATATTGCTATTGTCAGGAGCCCAGATTGCACTGCACACGGAGAAGTCCTAAATCCAATCGCTATCAGAACAGCAAGACAGAACCAACTTCCTACATTCAGCCTTCAGCCCCCACTACCCACCAACTCCAACAAGATGCCCACAACAGCCTTTGTTATACCTCCACTGAGATCAACTTGCACTGCTGTCTGCTCGCTTTGCTGACTAGAGGTACCTCAAGCACCAACTGCTCCGCTGGGTCGTCGGTTTTACAACTGCCAGCCTCCACTTACTACAGCATTGGATTTTATTATTTATTTTAGATCTATCTCTATATGGGTTCTCCAAGAGCTATCCCAGAGCAGCGTGCTGCAGAGATGCTGCAAAGAGATTGAGACAGATCTGAAAGACCAGTTACAGCACATGTAGAGTCCTGATGTGAGCTGCGTTCCTTCAGATTTGATGGCAGCTGACTCCGTACGCTCTTTTCATCAGATGTACTCTGATGCATTTTCACCATATGGAAGTTCATCAAGCCATGAATGAGCTACATATCTCTCTGGTGATATTCACTTACAGAGAATCTGTAGTAGGGACAAGGGAAGGGCAATTGTGGGGAAAAAAGCCCCAGGTACCAGCCCCTATTCCTCCTCCTATCCTCCCCCTTTCTTCCTCAGGGAAGAAATTAAAAAAAAAATACACAATAGAAAAAGATATGCAGTAAAAAGATAAAGGTCCTCTCATCAGCATAAAAAGCAAATTCTGAAACAGAGGCACTCAGCAATTTCCTTATGCAAACCACACTGGTATATTTAAAGCTTTCTGATCACTTAGCTAGTAATACATAACTACAGATCCTAATATCATTTCAAAATGGATCGAATACACCAAGGATAACTATTCTTTCACAGTCAGTCTTGTTGCGCAGATTCATCCAAATAGATGTGATTCTCCAATACAAAATTGTTCTATAAAGTTTAAGATCAGATATCTACCAGAGCCATATTTATAGTCATGGCTACTATCAGCTGTCCAGCTAGAGAATATTGAAGAAAAACAAGCATTTTTAATATATTATAGCCAATTTATCATCTAAGTGGCATGTGTAGGATAACAACAGACTGGAAACAGTAAAGCAAAATGATGCATTAAAAAAGGAAATTTTAGGGTTATGTTGTTTCTTTTGTTTGTGTTTTAAATACAAGCCACACCTATATGCATTGCTAGATGGTAAGAAAATTCATAAGAACCACAAAATATAAGGTTTCTGGACTGAAAAGGAACACTGAGATCAAATGGGCAACAAAACTACTTATTTGCTTTAGTGTGATGCATGATATAAAACACACTACCCAAACAAATAAATATTGCCCTATTTATTTGGTATCTCAGAGATGACTCATCTTGCCAGCATGAGATAAAGGTACCTTTTTGCTGTGATAGAATTTTACAGCGTAGGTATTTCCTACATTGCCAGACTGGAATAAAAAAAACAGTTAGAGATCCTATAAGTAGTTACCACAATCAAACCATCCTAACATTCCTACCAGTAACACCAGTTACAGTCTTCAGCGTCCCTTTTGGATAGCCCTCGAAGATCCCTTGGTCAAGCTGCTCTGAGCTCAACCACGCACTAAAAGCAAGGAGCAGGGGAACAGTGCAGCTCCCTACTACACAAAGCAGAGGCAAAGTTGCTTTCAAGAGCAGGAACCTTACAGGCATCCGGCTCACCACTTCTGACAGCCAGACCCTCCCTGCTAATGGGGAAAACATCCCCTTGAGATTTGGGGTTACCAAACCTCACAGGTTAATGGAATTTACTCGGACTTCACAGCCACAGAGGTGCTTTTAAGTCAATTAGAGATGCAAGTTTGTCAATTATATGGACTATTTCTAAAAACCACATTGGATCTCAACTACGTATACATGATGAAATTGAAAAAAACTGTCAGACACGTGGAGATTCAATGCTCACAATATGAAGCATGGATGCCTTGAGTTGGAGGTATGAATATGCAGCAAGCATCATGCAAGATGTTACAAGAGGAACTAGCATGCCAACTGACAAAAGATGGCAACCACACACGGGTCCTTGATTAGGCAGGCAAGCAGATTTTGTACGATATAATACAATATAAATAGGAGTACAAGCAGACACGCTGTATATAGAACGCTCAAAATCCTTGAGGCTCTGGCATATCAATGACAACATAAAACACATCAGATGCAGGAAGTAAGTCACGGATTTTCACAGAAAGAATTCTTAAATTATTCACTTAGGTAAATACAGTTATTTTAGCTAGAAGGCAATCATTCAAATATAAAATGTAATTAACACCTTTAGTTTAGAAAAGATGACATTTTACCTGAACAGCAAGGGAAGATGCATTATCAGAAAGCAAAATTTGATCCTCTGTTGAAAGGAAAAAAAAGAAAAACAAAACCCACGATTACAAAAAGCAGTGCCCTTTTAGCTACCGACCTGTAACTGTAAGTCATTCTGGGTTGCATTTCTTACACATAAAACAAGATGCACATACATAATTATTATGCAGCTGGACTAGAAAACCTGTGATATGAATATTAAAAAACGTATCAGGAATATTTCTCCTGCAAATGCAACAGCATTTATCATATTATAGCAACAACGTACAATAAAAATGCTCACAATTGAAAACCAAATGCTTGAGTTTTATGCCAATTACTCTTCTTCTAATCAAAGTTAAATAAAACCGCATCTTCATAACTCCTCTGGCTAAAAAGTAAAAGCATTCAGAAACCTATAAAAACGGCTTGCAGTTAATATTGCACACTGTGTCTAGGTCTGTCACACAAAAGAAAGATGACAAGTTCACTGCAATAAAAATTCCATGCTTAGAAGACTAGGGCTGCTACCTATTAGTCTTCATTACTTTGCAGTCTTCTGACAACTGTAGCAGGCTGCTGAGCCCCAAATGGGGGCCATAATGTGATCTGATGATATATGAAGAGCTGCTAAAGGGAGCCTGAACCATCCTAGCCTATACATTTTAACAGTTCCTTTTTACTGAGAGCCCACTTTACCACAAGACTTCAAAAATCTGCTGCCTCAGCTATTGGTGCAGTAAATCTGCCAACTGTGCCTGCAACCACATCATTTTACACTGCCTACAGCAGCCAATATAATGAGTCAATAATAAACCAAGGACCTTATAGGCCATGAATAGCTGGTTTATATTGGCAGATGAAAGCGTAGCAAAAACCTCTGACCAGACAAACAACACAAAGAAATCTTTTAACAGTTTCTGTGCTTCCTTGCAGTTAATTATCTTAGTGCATATTTAATGTGTTTTTAACAACAAAGTAATTACTAATTGCAAAGAAGTGTACCCACCCTTCAGTTGCTGATACAATGCAGCATTTTCAGGCCAAGGCTCTGCGGCTGTGGAAAGAAGAAGAATTAATTAAGCAAGCCAAATGACAATGCGCCTGCAGATGCTAACTGAACATGAACGTTACCTAGAGCAGGAACTCAAACTGTAAGGATGCTGATGCAAGATTTGACCTGCCCCAAAAATGTCCCACTGCCATTCACTTCTCCCGGACTTCTTTCTGCTCACAGAGGGACACCACAGGGCAGAAAATTAAGTCCCAAAATTGAACGGTGCAGTAAAAGCTAAAATTCAATCTACGTTGCAGAATGGCCCTTCAATTATCAAGCATCAAAAGCGGATAGCTTCCCTCCGCCAGAAAGACAACATGCAGGCATTGCCATCACAACTCTTGCCACTCTCCACCGTGATTATTTATTAAGGTACTAAACAATGAATTCTGGAAGAACAGAACAAAACACAGAGGAGAGAGGCACAAATCTCAAAACCAGGTGTGAAGACTGCTTCAGAGAAATGGAAAAGCTTTCTGCCTTTTCAGGTTGTGTCCTCACTGGTCCAATATAATACTCACAAAGCCAGGTGCTCGGGCATGTCAAAAACAAACCTGCCACAAAGACCAGAACTACCTTTTGTTTTAAATTATGTACCAGTCAACCCTAAAATGGGAATGTCAATATTCATTAAAAAACCCGCATCATCAGTTGTTCAAAACAGCTGAACAGTTGTTCAAAAAAAAAGCAAAGATATAGAAGACAATAACATCTCCCAACTGAGAACTGCTGCACTTAATCAATCATATACCATGTGAATTTATGGGAAAACAAAAATAATAATCAGTAGTGATTTACTGTTAATGCTAGCATTAGGATAACAGGTCATCACATTTGTTTGGTCTCTGTCACATTCTTTAATTCATTTTAGAAATCTATTTTTAAATACCAACTCAAATTTGGATTCTATCCAAACTAGCTATTTGTAAATAAAATTGATGTTCTAATCCCATAAATAAAGATTTTCTTAAGCAGTGAAGTCTATAAATAATTATGTGTACTTCAGACAGAAATATGCCACTGGCTTCCGTAAGGTCATTCTCTGTATCTTTGCCCTCAAACGCCAAGAAAATACTCCAAGTATTAACTTTTATGGAAGTCACATAGAACTGTAAAGCTGGTAACACTGTGCACAGTTTTACAAAGGTCACTACCTTTAACATTAAGGCACAGAGCCTATCAAAGCTATACTAGTATGGGCTTGAGAAAGCAACTAATCACACTTAAGTGTCACGAAGAAATGTTTTATGTTTTATTGTAGCAGTTATTGGTTTTACACCCCTCCATTAAAGTTTTGCCCTGGAGTAAAAATTCTTGAGGTGGAAGCACATTTACTTCTTTAAATAAAAAAGAGACTAGATAGTGTCTGCAGTACTACAGCCCTAACTGTTTGAAATAATTTATCTAAAATACATTTCTTCAGGTCCACTGGAGTCTTGCTATAGCAAATGGAACAAGGAAATTAAGAATGTTATTACTGTACTTAAGCAAACTTGCAGTGCTGAACTCTGAGATACTTACAAATGTAACTAAGTCACAAAGGTACACTGCCAGCAAACAGAAAAAAATCCTTTTTCCATGCCCAAAATGGTACTGAGACCCTGAAATTTCACGAGCCCATTTCAACTGATAGTTTCTGCCTGACCCTTTTCAGACTGGAATGTCAGATTCATATCAAATTCCTGGATTCCAGCCCAAACTGGAAGCAGCCTGTTCTTCCACAATCATGTGGCTGAACTATCTCAGGCCCACTAAAATTAAATGAACTTTTCATGTTCCAACAGAAGAGCTAAGTACGTCTCAAGAAGTTCAAACACTAATTGAAGTGTCTGATCTTGGCATTAAGCTACAGGCAGCCCTGGATATATATCACAGCTTCTTAGCGCACAGAATCCAACAAGACACCACTACTACAGCATGCCATGTCTATGTTATAAAAGAAAACATGTTTGTGACATAAAACAAAATACAAGCAGAATGGTTTTGAAATATGATGGCCCTTATCTGCCTAAAATTGCCATCCACGTTCTACTGACCACGTACAGATTTTCACAAATTGTATTTACTGTGGATTTGACCCTAATTTCATTAATCATGATACAAAGTCTTCACCACATGTAGCCTTAGCATATACAGGAACACACACCAAACTAAAGGGAAGGAAAGCACGAGGGTAGTTTTAAATCTTTGCATTTGCTCATCCACCACCCAGCTGTGTACTAACACATCTTTTGACAAGTCAATGATGCAAGGCCAAAGAGTTGCATGAAAGTCAGCCACTCTCATTAGGACACCTTAACTCCAAGTTCCAACAGTTGTAAGAAAATAAAAGAGTAATCCCCCTGTTCCCAGCCTCTGACAGGCTCCAGAGGAAGGTCACAACTCTGGCCATGTCTGGACGAGGTGGACACATGCCCGTGACCCTTGAACTGAGGCCTTCAGTTCTTCCTGAGTAGAGCAGACCAAAGATTTTACTGCCACTGTGCAGGCTGGATATTAAAACAATCAACTTCACACTAAGATTCACATATTATTAGACATACCCTAGGAAATGTATTCTGCAGCATAGTTTCAGAATTGCATGCAGCAAAGACAGTGTTCAATGAGGTACACACAAAGCCTGGGCAATTCTCTGTAGGTTAAACGCCTAGTCGCTATCTGTCCCTTGTCTTCCAACTTCTACTTACTCTGTCTTCTCAGATGTTCCAAGTATGATGTACTTTTTTCTGATGATTGAGAAGTTTAAATACACATTGCTGCATGAGATGTCCGGGTTTGTGAGGAGCAAGCTAAGTTCAAAGAGCAGCCCCACAGCTGCCTTCAGTCACTTGCAAGGCCAAAACCCGCAGCTCGGGGAGCCCAGAGGCCCGCGGGGGAGCCGAGGAGGAAGAGCTGCTGAAGGGATGCCACATGCCTCCACAAGGAGAAAGCGTGCAACATCTTTAATGTACGGCAATGACTCTTGCCTTATGAATGTAGGTGAAGACATAATTTGTAGAATAATAGGCACTAATATTACACGCTGCTTCAGTTCTGTCATATTTCCAATCCATCAAGTTGATTAATGCTATAACTCCTCACAAACTTATCATTTGTGCGCTAATGAAGTCAAATCCAGTTTATCCTTCGGCAACTACAATCTTCTGGTCAGTAGATGCTAGTTTGCTAGATAACAAAGGCTACCGTGGCAGTACATAAAGAGAAAATTAACAAACATTATGGCAATTCAGTTTCAGAAGCAGCTTTCAACACAGCACCACATTTACGTGTCAGATCCTACGCAACATACATTTTTATCATTAGCTGCTCACAGGATGAGGCAACTGCCTGGAAGTATGCCTTACAGGAACGCTTCTCTGCATACCTTAGCAATAAGGAACTCTTTGGTTCTTCCTTCTGCCTCCAGAACCAGAGGAACTACTATTGTGTGGTTTTCAATAGGTCTGTCTCTTGGGCTTGCAATCTTCATTAGAGGTTGTTTTCCCACCTTACTGATTTTTTTCCCATGCCTAATGAATTCAAATATTCAGTCTTTCATGTGGATTGCCTGCTGTTTGTTCAGGACAAGTGAACCTCATCCTGTTATCTTTCCCTGCTTCTTCCCTACAATACTGTTTGTTTTTATGCCAGTTATAGGAAATAAACCATCTGTGGGATCAGCCCTCCTTATTAAAATTATCTGCACTGTGTTCACAAGTTACTGGGAAGTGAAAATTAAAGGTGCGTGGACACAGAAGGCATTACCACATAAGCCTGGTTATCCCAGGAGCTGAGAATTCAGCAGATGCAGCAACACGAGAAGCAGAAAAGTTAAATGTCAAGCAGACTGCCTACAAAAAAAACTCCTTTGGTTTTGTAGATGACTAAAAATAAATGAAAATTTCACTAAGTTCAATGTATTTGTTAGTCAAAGCATTTTACTTATTAACAGTTTAGCATAGAACATGCAGATTTCAAAGAGTTAACAGAGCTCTTTGGTATCAAATTAGAATTTTAGAGGAAATCTCTGTGAACTGGTGTGTTTCATGTTCCAGTGGAGTTTTAATTACTCAGGTTTACAACTATCAAAACAGATCCCTAGCCTCCTCATGAGGCTAGGAATGACTTACAAAACATTGCTGCTCATAGAAGAAGTTTGCAGAGCACAGAATGATGCATGACAGCTCCATCAAATTCTTTGCCACCAAAAAAATATTGTATCAGGTGCATTCTTCAGATTTTGGGATGAAATGTGTTACTTGAGCTATGCTAAGTGCAGAGACATATTCAATTAGCATTTTGCTTTCAACATTTCCAGATGTTTCAAGGCTGTCATTTCAATTGTAAGAGTTTATCCATCCAAATACTTTTGGGACAGCGAGAGTGAAAAATGCACATATGCCCTAAGAAGAGATACTTAAGAGCACCAGGCTTCAGTATCAGTATGGGATGAGCAGCTGACCTGAGGCTTACACACATCTCAGCTCCAACTAATGCTCTGAAAACAGGATGCAGTGTACTTTTCTGGGGTCTTTGCACAGAGGTGAATTTCAGTTCCAAAAACTGGTTGCCACAATATTCGTTCAGTGATGTCTGTGGAAGAGGAAGGCATCACGTCTCAAGACTCTCTGCAGAGCTTCAGTCCCACCAGCAAATTGTTCCAGGCTGTTCAGACATCTTATTTAGCGTACCAAACTTTGTTTCAACTCCTACACTCTAATAACTGGGAAACTATTCATCCCATGTCAGAGCTGCCTGGATGGATGGGGGGCACAGACATTTTCATCCCCTTTCCCCAAGCAGCTTCACAATGATGAAAGAGTTGTAATGAAATAAATGGCTTACAGTTAGGCCTTTAATCCCGTTCGTTAAAAACTAAGTCTGACTGTAAAATAGAGAAGACGAGAACTCTTTACATGTTAAATTGTGTAATATGCTAAAGACCAGTTTCGCAGTTTCAGAAGCCTAGTGTGAAGAGCCAGTTTCAAGCAGTTTGGTACGTGATGTGCTTGCCTTGCTAG